TGCCCTAATAATAGTGAGTCTTGTCAAACAGATATAGATCCAGAGGATTCCTCTTTGTGATAGACGCCACGTTTTGCCAAACTAAACTTCAATACAAATTTTGAATCTAAAATTACTCCTAGATAATTTACTTTAATGTATGTACATATTTTTTTGTGTTTCCTTTAATTATGATGGGTTTTAAGATAACAACCCTGGCTGTAGTTAGGACAATATAAATCCTATTCTCACCTCACTAAGGTGTAAATCTTTACGTTCTAGTACAGTTATCTTTACCAATCAAATTATCTACATATATTTTTATTCAGGTATGCGAAGTCGATGGAATAAAGGCGGAACTCTGCTAGGTTTTTTGTAATTCTAGAATAGCGTTTATACTAAAAGTATATTTCTTTTATTGAAGTGATTCTAAGACAAGTATATTACAGTATTAATATTTCCTGATTAGCTAACCAACACATTTTAAACCTACATCTTAACGACCTTCTGTACAATCGAGGCCATACAAAATTTTAGTTAAAATAACTTAGGCATTTGTCATCAATTTATCGAAATAAAGCAAGCAGCTGACTCAACAAAAGGCCATAACCAATAACAGCCAGAAAGTTTAACTACTAATGTAAGCACATCACAGTTTTTAATTAACTTAGTCGTATTTACATGTGTATACACATCTATACATATGTATATGTATGTACATTAGACCGCATCACCAAAAAAAGTTGCGGTTTTTCCGTCCGGATTACAAAATGTATTATATTTTAAGACGTCCACTAAAATATTTCGGAAAAATATTAAGATTTAAGCGAGCTGGACCGATTTAAAATTACCTCCACAAATGAAGTTTTTTAAGAATAAAAATAGTTTCTTAAAGAACTTTTTGAAAAAAGTCCCCTCAGATGACAAATTAGAATAAGCTTAAAAAATCTGCATAAAAATATTTAAAAATCTTTTCAACGGAATCGTAAGAATGAGATTTTTGATGCTGTTTTATTAACTTTTTTCAAAGGCTGATTTACGAAAAACTTGAATAACTGGGCCAAAACTATTTTAAGCTTAAGGTGTTTTGTCATTTGAGGGGATTTTTTCAAAAAAAATCTTTAAGAAACTATTTTTATTCATAAAAAAAACCATTTTCGGAAGTATTTTCAAATCGGTCCAGCTCACTTAAATCTTAATATTTTTCCGAAATATTTTGGTGGGCATCTTAAAATGTAGTAGGTTTTATAATTCCAATGGAAAAATAGTACCGATTATTTTTTGTATGGGGAGTGATGCAGTCTAATGTACATATGTATTTATCGCTTATGGTTCCAAGTATCCCAGATGTAAGTATTTGGGAATCACAACCAATAATTCTTCAATATATTCTTTATCTTCGTATATCTTACGCCGATATTCTTCATCTTTAACGAACGCATCAATTGAGATTTCTCCGCGACTAAATCCTGGCCACATCGGCAGGAAGGATGCCATAAAAAATAGTTCTAAAAGACAAGTAAGACAAATAAATGAACAGTGGTCTAGATGGTGAAGAATTCTATTCAATATGAATAAACCAGAGTTTTCGGATAGCCCTGGACGGAAGAGAGGGAAGAGTGTCCAACTTATGTACTCACCCAGAAATTTATGTTGAAATAATTGTTCTCGGAATTTAGCTAAGGTTGGCAGCGGACCTTCAAATCCAAGCCTTTCCAGAGTGTCTCTGAATACGCTGAAGTAATGGTATAGAAATTCCGCTGTATTCGGGCGCAGCTTGCTGTCCAACAGCATAAATATCGAATATATCAAGTCACTAGTGATCGGGCCAACATGCGAGAACTGAAAGTCCACAAGCATCAGATCTTCCAGTTTGCCAGTATCTGAGTTATGTTTGAACATCATATTCTTGAGGTGAAAGTCGCCATGGTTGAGCACATACAAGGCATCATCTCGCGGCGCTACGCGATATTCCGTATAAGAGGCAATGGCCTCGTCGATCAAATCTACTTTTGCAAAAAGTTTCTCAAAATGAGGCAAATATTCTTGTAACTCAGGCATTTTGCGCAGCATCTCCAAGAAAAATACTATACCTTTGCCAAAGAAAGGATTTTCTTTAACGTTATCTTGCGAGAGGAAACTGTGCCGATATTCATCGAAGTAGTGCGGTTCCTTGTTAGCAATAAGGAAGATACGATTTTTTAAATCTATATTTAAATACTTAAATAAAAATTCAGCGAAAACTTACCTCGCGCATTATTTTGTGGCTAATCGCGTGCCATTTGGCCAGTTTTGTGTAAGTGGCTTTCGCTTCTTCCGCAGTGGCGAAACGACCACGCAGCACATTGTACCCCAGAGGCACCAGATCTTCGAAAACGATGAGCTTGTGTGGAGACAGCGAATGATAGAGTACGCTGCGAAGTGAATAAATATTACTCGAAGAGAACTTGAGTATAAATTAAGTTACAAATGCAATTCTACTTACGGCGCCATTAGCTTGGTATCGTCGCCTACCGCTCGCAAATACTTTTCGAAACGCGGCAGCACTTGCGTGTACATTCCGATCTCCACCTCGAATATGCCATACTTCTCCAACATTTCCTTCTTCGTCCCCTCCACCTCTGGCATCGTCTTGATGATCATCGATTTGGTTTTATCAACACCATTTATCTGGTAGTCCACGGCTGCACGAAACATCACACTCGCATAGTGATCGCCCTTAACAGTGGCCGGGCTTATTTTGTAGCTCTTCACCTCCACCTTAGACGCATTTCGCTCGGAGTTCTGCAACACTTTTGTGAAGAATTCGCCGTCTAGCCATTTTGGAGCTTCCAATTCATCTTCGTTGTACTCCTCTGGTTTGGGTGCCATTGCTTAAAATTTATTTATTCAAAGTGTACGTGTTGAATTCTGTTTGGTCTCTGCGATCTTCGCATGAATGGAGTGGCTTTAAATATGAAAAGTTAGAGCTTTTAGCAGCGATTACGCTTCTCACTCTAGTGTGACTGAGAATTTCTCATATTTTACAACTCAAAGTCATTAGTAAATATCTGAAAACTACATTTAATTAAAAATTAGTTCGTATAATTTGTGTACAATTAGTATCTTAGATAGTGACAGATACTATCATCGCAGGGTACTTCAATCTATATAAAAATGCTTATCATGTTATATGTTAAGATAAGTATTCAATGAGTTTATATCTCATATGTATGTATCACCATAAAATAAATTAAATTGCAGTTATAACACTGCACATGAGCCGAATACCAAACAAAAGTGCAGCGTACAAAATACCCTGCAGGGAAACCGCGGACTAGTGAATCAAATTTCTAGTTCCGTACTAGGTCTTTGTCGTCAAAAAGGAACTAGTCCGATAGGTGGGGATCTAGCCACCAGTACAAAATCGGCGAAAAGTGGTACTAATTTTTTTCAGTTTTTTTCACTAGAAATCTATATCTAAAGTGACGAATTTAGAAATGGTTCGGAATTATAGAAAAAGGGATGCAGAACGAACTAGATCTTATTTGTCAAATTTATTACTAATTCGGAATTATCGAATAAGGGATGCAGCGGGGGGCTTGTTTACTTTACATAGATATGTGTTCGGCGGCTTTGTCGTTNATGAAACTGCACGAATGTAAAAACATACAAACATATGCGCATACGTATGTAGGTATAAGTGGATGTGCATATACAGCAGAGAAAACTAGTTTCTTGAACAGCCCATTGATAGTTAGTAAAGTATGAGAGAATAAAAATAAACTTAGTAAGAAAATTATAATAATACGGTGCAACAAAATCGAGAGAATTGCGCGAACTTTTTATAAGACTGAGTGTACAGAGGTCGTAAGGTTGCTGAGTAATTTGTGTTATCGTTTCTTTAAACTATAACTATTAAATCAATAGCGAGTAATCTACCGACTTTTTTTGCAACGCTGTTCTTTCGAAAGAAAATGAGTAAGGGCCTTTCAATATTATTGTAATGATATGTTTGCATAACAATTTAGCTGTTTATTTATATTATAATGGCTCACATAAAAGTTTTTTTTTATAGAATATTGGTCCATAGAGACATACATAAGTATATATAAATAAATAGTTAAATGCGGAAACATCACTTCTTAATTGTTGCTTCATTGTTTTTAGTTTGGCTGTTTGGAGTTATTCAACCAAATTCTGAAATAGGGCGTTCTTGAGAATTTTTCTGAGATAGGGCCTTTCCGAACCGGCTACCGAGATAGGTCAATCTTTAACTCCATATGTACATTCATGTAAAGTATAATTAAAAAAATGTTTTCTCACAATGTTACCTTTATTAATTGTGTATATGTATGTATGTTTATTAGGGTGGTCTAAAAGTGTATGTGAAAAAGTAAAGTCGGAATTTCAATGCTCTCACCTCCTAGGCTTGTTCTATACCATTGCCACGAAATTTTTTTTTTCCATATAAATGACATGGAAAACTTTGAGCGCCTTGAGCGAATGTTAAATATTTTTTGATTTCAAAATGAATAACAGGGTTTTATATTTTTCGATATAAAACATTCCTGTGGGGTTGCGAGCATTAAAATTCCAACTTTACTTTTTTTTTGGATCACCGTAATATACATACATACACAAGTATCTACATATTTTTATTTATTATTGCATATTAGGTCTTGAACCAAAATAGATAATAATAACATTAACAAAAAAACTACAGCAAATAAACTCATTCAAAAAATTTAACCCTTTGACGACTTTTATGTATGTAAACAAACGCCTTTTAAATGCTTTGCAAATTTTTGTTCTCACACACCTTGCGATATATAAAAGAAAGAGCTTCACCAAACCTAGCCTAAATTTAAAAGTAGCCAATCCAAAAAATTTTACTTAGTGTCGAAAATGCTTTTTTTTTAAAGAATTATTCAAAATTGTTGGTAAATATTTCAAATGAAGCGATACTGATATTACCAAAAAATACCCTTTTTGATTGAGTACTCTAAAGCAGGGATGCGTAGATTTTTGGCTGTTAAAGCAGTCAAAGAGCCAGCAAGTGCTAGGCAAGAAGTAAATCAGTTCTCAGTATAATTAATAGTATTATTAGTATAGATGAGATTCTAAAAATTTGAATCACGGACAGTAATATTAACTACTAATTTGCCTTGTGTTAAGTTAGGTGTAATTTATTTCATTGAAACATATTTTATTTAAACTCTCCAATAAGTAACAGATTTTCAAACTTTTCTTTTTTTAACCGACATTAATTATATTTCAACCTAAAACCTTTTCGTCTGATACCCATATAGCGATAAAATTTATTAAATTCCCTTAATTCAATTTGAATTTAATTTTTCAAGCCAGTAGCAGCCCTCCTTGCTATAGCTAGGAAATCAAAAATTTTCAAAACTATTGCGATTGATACCCGTATTGTAATAATTCATTTAACCTTTCAAATAATTTGGTGGTAACCCTCTTCAAACACTCAAAAACTTCTCAAATGCTCACAATAAAGATTTCTTAACACACTCTTTCATTTGACAGTTTAATATCTGTATAATTTAATAAAATTTTTCACACAGTTGGCAACCCTCTTCAAAATATTTTTAAACTACTTCTACCTTCTAAAGCCTCTTTCGCCTGAAGCTCATGTTGTGATACATATTTAAGATTAATTATTACATTCAATTAAGTTGAATTTGGATTTTTAAACATAAATATATCAACTCTTCTACATGTAGGCTAGAAGTGAAGCCTTTTCAAAATTTTTTCGGTTTATACCAATATTGTAATAATTTAGTCAACTTTATTCGTTATCTTCTCACCACATATGTACATACATACATATACTTCCTCAAGGTATGCAATATGAAAAATTTAGTTTACGTGGGGCGTGCCACGGCCCCTTCGCCTATGGAGCCCATGTTTGCCAATGTGGATGGAATGGATTTTATATACCGGGGTTCCGGTACTCTACCTCAAATAAATATATCAGGGGGTATGCAGTGTGAAAAATTTAGTTTATATGAGAGGTGGCACCTCCGTCTTTTCTAATCGAGATTAAAGCTTTCCTATATTTTAAGTTGAACGAAATGACATCAGTGCACAAAATTGTAAAGCGTGAAAAATTCACATTCGAATTTATAATATTCTTTAGTAAGGATTAATAAGGATTTCAAAAATTTGTTTCTTATATGCTTACATTTTTTAATTTTTAAATTGCTACACTTGCATATTTCAGAGCGCTTCCACTATCACTGGTCTCCTCTTGCAGCATGCTGCGTTAGAATATTATCGCAGAAACATGTTGCCTACGTCAACAACTCCGAAATATTGCACCAGTGTTACTGAGAGAATCAATCAACAGTATTCATCACTCTCATTGGCTCTCTTTATACTACAATTTTCTCTGAGATTATGAAGGAAAATTCTCAGCAGGCGGACCCCATTGCACAACATTACCTACGACAACACCCAAATTATTGGTGAACTAAAAGGTGTGCAAGAATTCATGAATACTCTCAGGACAATAGCAACATTTTTCGTAATGTAGTACGAATTGAAAACATTTTCTCGCTTGTTGCAAACGACCACTCCGATGTACTTATGTACTCGTGCTTAAAAAATAAACCGTTTCTTCTGTGTGGGTGTGTTGTTTCACTACGTAACGCGCGATGCTCTCGACGGTAATTGAATGAGTATCCTTAGTTCTTCCGCGTAAGGCGTTGTGCGAAGGCAGCAA